TCTCAGATACTCCAGCATCTGCAGTTCCTACTATCTCTGAAACAATTTTAACCCCACTGTGAAGCCTCTCCTAAGGATGCCTACCTTGAAGAAGTTCTGCTTGGCCTGCTGTGTTCATCCAGCTCTACACCTTGTTATCTCAGATTCTCCAGCACCTGTAGTTTCTACTATCTCTGAAGCAATTGACTATCTGTTTACCACCTCCCAAACCACCCGCCTGGACATATGCCCTGGTATTAATTTATTATTCAATCATCATACATTGAATTTGAACACAATTAGATGAATTGAATTGCATGTATTATAGCTGATTGGTACATTCAAATAATGTCACACCCATGTAAAAAGAGCACAGAATCAAAGTTTTGTAACAGCTCTGAGAGATCCATTTTTCCCATGAGATGAGTGGGTCTTTGGTTATTTGGTTTTGTGGGTCAAGGTATATTAAATAAACTTCTCCTTTCAGTTAGATTCAGCTCTGGAGTCAAAGGTGTTGATGTGACAGGTGGATAAAATGAGTGACTACTATCAATGCACATATTGAAATTTAGCCCATGCCTGTCAACAATGCTGCTAAGCCAAACATTTAGGTGATGATTACAAAAAGCATCATTAAAATTGACTGTACAAGCAAGGGAGAAATAGTTTGAGGATACGTCATGTGTAGGCTTGCGTTCAGATGGGAGTGGGACCATAATAGCTTTTTACCATAGATGTGCTGTGAAGAAGAAAGGGTGGGAAATGATGGTCAAAAGTGTTATTGCGATGTTAGCTGGAAGGATGATCCAGTTCTCTTCAAGAATTATTTCTCCTTTTACTGATAATTAACATTTATTTAGCAATGAAACAGTTGTGACTACAAATATTTACATGATGCCAACATAGATTTGTTTTTACTTACAGCATATTATTGCCAATAGGTGGGTCTGCCATGTAAGGGCATAGAACATTCCTCCCACTGCAATACAGGCCAGGACACAGTTGTAGCTCCATAATCCATCATAGATTTTCTGGAATGGTGAAGCAAGTGTTAATCCTATAAAACAAATTGATAAATTGAATAAAATATGTAATTGTTCAGCCCTTTACAGATTGTGAGCTGCTTTGATTCTGTTTCATAGAAAAAACAATATAGACAATGTAGAAAACATAGAATGCAATTAGAAGTTTTGATTCAAGTATTTCAAATGTACAATTATTTGATCCCTTAATACAGAATTAACTGATTTTAAATATTCATTTTTACTCAATGAACAAGTGAAACCAACAGTTAAATGCAATTTCATGTCAGAAAATTGGCCAGAAATCTCCTGGAATCTAATCAACAATCTAGAAGGAGAATTCTTTGTGAATGCACCCTTTAAATAGTCCAGGTCCTTCCTGCCTTTTAGTACTATGAAGTGCTCAGTGAGTTTATGACGGGGTGAGTCAAACACTGAGGCAGATTAATATGTCAAACGGAAGTGAAAAGTGCTTATTTAAAGAGTTCATTCATTGTTTTACATTTGTTTGACAGGCATTCTGAGAAACGGCCTGATCCAATATTGTATTGGCTATTGGAAGGAATGAGCACCAGCATGTCACTTTTCTTGTTGAATGCTGAGGTGCCTGTTTGGTTTCTGAAAAACAGGGCTGTTTTTTTTTAAACCCACAATGGTTAGGAATAAGCAATAAATATTATTATTGCCCAAGACATAATAAAAAAAAGGCACATTTAACGTAGAATCTTTGTGGGCATATACCTCAGGAGCAGCGATTAAATCATACCTGCCAGTATACCCACAGTAGATCCAATTGTAGCATGTAGACATATCAGTGGAGATGAGATAATTAATGCAACAAGGAAAATACCGCCAGTCCAGGGATTGTCACAACCATACACCTGTCCAACACCAATGGGGATAGCTCTCACAAGCTAAATAGATTGAAACAATGAGGTGTTAAGTAATTTTTAAGGACTGCAACAATTGTTTTTTATAAGTGCTTGTTGAAATAGACAGTCAACTCAAAACTAAAGGCAAACATTAGAAATGCTGGATATGTTTGCATCAATGCAACTATTTTAAATTATTAGGACCAGACCAAACGCCTTCAAAATATTCAGAAGACAGTTTAGACCTTAGCTTTTTCTTATTTTAAATGTAAATGTAAGGTGTTGCATTCCAGATGCAATTTGATTGGTCAAACTACTGGATTTAAAACAAAACACATTTTATTCATCTACTATAGTTGTATAGCAGTGATTATAGTGACATTATAGTGATCAGCTAAGGTCAGATCCTCTTCTCCACGCTATGTGTCTTGTGCATTCCTCTTCAGTTGATTATAGGAGCTTCATTTTTAATTTCAAACTGTCCAACGTCACCATTCTCTGTCTCAGTTATTACAGTCTTGATATTTCTTTTCTCAAGATCTTTATTCATTCCAAAGGTGTGTAATTTTTTACGTTTAGAGAAACATTCTTTACCATTTCCATTCCAACTCTGATTTATTTACAGCATATGAAAAATTTAGTTGATTTTGTTTTCTTTTGGAAACAATCACACAACTGTCTACTTTTCAGAAGGTAAAGCTTTCTTTTATGTTCAGGACTAGACTGCACAATTTAGCAACTGGCCCACAATGTAAATTAACCTTCACTTTGTTGTAGAGCAGCACAGTTTGAACACTGCTGACATATGGTTAATCAACTGTAATCACAAATTCTAAGGCAGTAGGTGTTTACTTGTATATTGATGGATGATGTGTACGTCATTCAGCAAAATACGTAATTGGACATATAAAGGAATGTAATCATAATTATATCATAATAGATTTAATGATGAGGATATAAATTTTTTCTAAAATAATTAGGTGTGAAAAAGATATTTTGCTATGTATGTTTACTGTGATCTCTTTCCGTTTAATGTACTTGCTATCTTAGCAATGCTCAACGATTATAAAATGACACAAATGTTTCTTACCATTGGAACACTAAGATCAGACCATGTAATGTTTGGTGATGAACTCATTGGTCCAATAAATATTTGAGGAAAATGCTGGTTGTAGTGCCCTGTTGCAGCTATGAACAAGCCGACAGCTATATTAAAAGGCAGAGTGAAAACAGGTAGACCCCATCTTCCCATCACAGCAGCCAAGGCACTTGAAATAATAGGACTGCAAAATAAATTACTTTTAGAATAAATATAAAATAAATTAATTATATTAACTTATTAAATGACATAATTTCATTCCTTTAATCACTATTTGCTTTTCACTAACACACTTACAAAAAAAAAAGTTTCAAAAATTTTCACTCAAAAATTGAGTTTTGGATCTGGAAATGTTACATCATCCCAGTATGGACGGAGTGGACAAGATCCTGTCTATCGATTGTTTATAAACACATGAAGGATTATTTAAAGAAGTTTTAGTAGATAGATGCTTTACTTCAAAGACTCATTTACTGCCTTCACTGACGAAAGACAGCCAGTGAGAAAATTGGAGTTAAAACCCACTCCAGAGGGTATAGCACACAGATTTAGCTTCACTTCAGCACAGACCAGGGTGAGGGGGGTGTATCACATTGCCAAATATGCCACATTAGTAGTGAGTCATTAAAAAGAGATGCAGTGTGTCCTTTCAAGTAGATACATAACAACATTTTGTACTATTCAGAGAACAACAGGGAAGTCCTTTAGTCCTGACTGACACTTATCTCTCAAGTAGTTCCCTGGAAACGGTTTATCTCATTGATGCTTGTAGCACTTAGCAACTTGGTTGATATGTTTGCTAAAATTACAACATTAACCACTGTTTAAATATGATTCATTAGGTGCCCTGACAATATGAAAGGTTTAAAAAAATGTAACTGGAGAAATGGTAGTGTAATGGTAATGTCACTGAAATTAGCAATCTAGAGGGCCAGCTAATGATCTGAGGAAACATGTTCAAATTCCGTCAGTGTCTGATGGAATTTGAATTCAATCAATAAATCTGGAATTGAAAGCTAGTCTCACTAATGGCTCCCATGAAAATTATCGTTGATTGTTCCTTAAAAACCCATCTATTTTACTAAAGTCCTTTAGAGAAGGATATCTGTGGTCTTTATTGAGTCTGGGCTACATGTGACTCCAGATCCACAATGATCTTAACTGTCATCTCAAATGGTCTAGAAAGCAATTCAGCTGCAATTAGAGATATGTTAAAAATTGTGATCTGGTCAGTAACACCCATACCACATGAAAGAACAGTTTTCTTTCAAAAGTCATAAAGGCATTGCATGTTAGAGTTGTAAACACAGCTGGTGACAAGCAACAATATCAATATTGAAATTAAGTACTACTGCACATGAAGGTACAAGGTGTCAGCCTCCTCCATCAAGCAATGCTCGGTCAATTACTAAATAAAAATGGAAAGAACGATGGATGATGGAAATCAGAAACAAAAACAGAAATTGCTGAAAAAGCTCAGCAGGCCTGGCAACATCTATGAAGAGAACTCAGAGATAACATTTTGGGTCCAGTGACCCTTCCTCAGAACTCATGGTAGCTAGGAAAATATTGGTTTTTATGCAGAAGATAGGGTGGGGCGAAGGGTAAGGATTAAACGATAGGTGGAGATAGAGCCAAAAGAGAGAGATTGGATGAGTTCTAAAATTTCCCATGTGATTGCTTCCAACAATTCGTGACTTAAATGCTCAAGCCATTATTGATTTTCATTATCACTGATGGTTTAGTACAGATGGTAAAACTTCCTGCAGGACTTCTGTGATCTCATAGCATTCCCCAAACACAGTCTCCTACTGGACCTGAATCTCGGCATCTACTACTCCTCTGTCATGCCATGGTAGAAAGGTTCATAGGAACATGGTATTTCATTTAATGCTACTTTAGTGCTTGGATGATTGGTGTTATTCAATTACTTTCCCAATCTATATTGATGTGGAGTAAAATTCAAAGGTATGATAGAGAACTGTGGGGTGTAATTCACGTGAAACCTGTAACAATATTAGGATCTCATCTTCATTTTAACTGACTGCTGTGATTTATAAAGTATAAATGTGACCTGCTCAACCTAAAACTCTCTCTTTTAATTCAAGTAGTTATTTAAATTGGTCCAAAAACCTAACCAATTTAAACTTCTATTAGGTTCAGTTGCAATGTTTGCAGTTCCAGTGATGTATGTGACTTAGTATTTTGGATATAAACAATTGTTTATGCCTCATGAGATTACCTTGTACACTTCGCCACCACAAACTAGCAATAGCACAAACATAATAACATAAGAAATGGTAAGAGAAGAAATGGCCCCTAGCCATGTTGTTCAAGAACAGTTACAACAATGGCATGTACCCAGCAACATGGAAAATTGCCAAGTATGTCCTGTACACAAAAATTAGGACATATCCACCTAGCCAATTACCACTCCGTGACTCTACTTTTGATCATCAGTAAATCAATGAAACGGGTCATCAATAGTGTTATTAAGTAGCAGTTGCTTAGCAACATTCACTTTGGGTTCTGCCAAGGTCCGTCAGCTCCTGATGTCAATACAGCCTTGGTTCAAATGGGAAAAGAAAGAGCTGAATTCCAGAGGGGATGTAAGAGTGAATGCCCTTGATATCAAGTCCACGTTTGATTGAGTGAAATTAGAGTTAACAGGAATGAAGGAGGAAACTCTCTGCTGTTGGAGTCATATCTGGGACATAGGAAGACAATTGTGGTTGTTGGAGGTCAGTCACCTCTACAGCAGAACATCTCTGCCGGAGTTTCTCAGGGTAATGTTCTAGGCCCAACCATCTTCTTTTGCTGCATCAATACTCCATCATAAGGTCAGAAGTGGGTGTTCTTGCTGATGATTGCACAATGTTCAGCACTATTCGTGACTCCCCAGATACTAAAACAGTCCATGTCCAAATGCAGCAAGATCTGGACAATATCCAGATTGGGGCTGACAAGTGGCAAGTAACATTTATGGTAGACAAGTGCCTGGCAGTGGCCATTGAAAAGAAAAGAACATATAACCATCACCCCTTTGACATTCAATGGCATTACCATTGGTAAATTCCCATTATTAAAACTGGGGGATTACCATTGACTAGACCCTGAACTGGATTCACCACATAAATGCAATGGCTACAAGAGCAGGTCAGGGGCTAGGAATCCTGTGACGAATAACTCACCTCCTGACTTCTCATTAACTGCATTGTGGGTATGGCAATGCCGGATGGGCTACAGTGGTTCAAAGGGCAGCTGACCACCACCTTCTCAAAGGCAACAGCAGTGATATTACATTACATGAAATAATATATGATTGTGATGATTTGCTACTCCACTTTTATGCCTTTTTGATTATTTGACTGATCAAAAAAAAACTGATCCTTCTCAACTTGAATATTCTTAATGACTGAGCATCTGTAAGAACATGTTGGCTTTATTCCCATAAAATAACTCCTATCTCTATAAATGGTTCTAATATTCATCTGTTAATCTCCTCTAAAGATGAGAAATTAGTTTAAGTATTGCTATCAACAATCTCCCTCTGGTTGTTAAAACTGTAGTTTTTTTGTGGTCAAGCCATTTTCAGGTTGAATGATTATATTATTTCTCTTTATTTTGCTATTTGATTGTATCTCAGTTGAGTATGCATTTCACTGCTTTTAGTCAGCAGGCATTTTCCAGTTCTATTCATCCAGACTGCCAATGAAAACTCAAGCTTTTTCCAAATCAAGGCAACACCAATGATGCTTGAACTTATATTTAATGTATTATTATTTTCCTAAAATTATTACAATCTGTCATAAATTTGCGATCCATTCCATAAAGGTTAACAGATATACGTCTGAAAGGAGTTAATTTTGCATGTAATTTTAATTCATCTGAAGGTGAATAAAATTTAAATGCCCTATACTCCTGACAGGGAACATCTTCCTTGTTTTTCCTTTATACATTCATGGGATGAGGGCATTGCTGGCCAGGCAGCATTTATTGTCAATCCCCTAATTGCCCAGAGGGCAGTTAAGAATCAGTCACATTGCTGTAGGTGTGAAGTCACATGTAGGCCAGACCAGGTAAGAACAGCAGTTTCCTTCCCTAAAGGACATTAGTGAACCAGATGTTATTTTTTCACCTAACAATCAACAATGGATTCATGGTCATCATTAGATTCTTAATTCCAGATTATTATTGGATTCAAATTCCACCATCTGCCATGGCAGGATTCAAACCCAGATCCCCAGAACATTTTCTGGGTCTCTGGGATAGCAGTCTGGTGATAATACCACGAGGTCATCGCTTCCCCCATGAATGCATAGTGAACACTTGGGCAAGCCACCTGTGATTTCATTATCTGTTTTGCAAAGAAAATTATGCTTAATAATTTCTGGTATTTGCTTTAGGTCTCTACAAAATAAGAAAATAATTATTGTAGAACTCACAAGCATATTTGACCATATTACATTAATTATTATAAGAGTTCTCAAATGATGACATAGAAATTAATCCATGCCCCACCTCTGGTCCCAGTCTCTGCACTGCGTATGCAGCTCATGTCCATCTGGTATGGCATGAGCTGTTCTCAAATTGGGCCTCAGGCTTCATACACATCTTAGGAACAAACTGTTAGCTCCTATCACATCTCCATAGTCAGCTCAACCTGTGAAAGACTGAATTTTGCAATGGTTCTCAGGTGATTTCTGGGAATTGGTGGTTTGATTGAGTAGTAAGCAGGTTGATTATTAGGCCTGCATGGTCATGGAAAGCTCTCATGTTCCTTCTGGCTTCAGGAAAATCTTCTAAAAATGTCACATATAGCTGGTAGTCACAAATCCCACTTAAGATTCCTATATTTTATGGTCTTATAGGAGAAACATAACAGCCATGTTCAAATAGTGGAGAAGACTTGATGGGCCAAATGGCCTCATTCTGCACCTATGTATTATGGTCTATGGTTTTTAAGTGAGACAATGTAGTGCCTGCTCCTAGATATCACGTTTGATCAAATTCTGCTTTGATATTATGGGATATTTCACACTTTCATCCCACCTCTGGTATTCTGCTATTTTGCACATATTTGGGCCAAGTCTGTAATGAGGACTGGAACCAATGGTCCTAACAAAACTCAATCTAAACATTATTGAGTAAGTTATTGCTGTGTAAGTTTCCTTTACCCACAGTCAATTATATCTTCCATCACTTTGATAATGATTGAGAGTTCACTGATGGGATGATAACTGGCTGGATTGGATTTGTTCTGCTTTTGGTTGTCGGGGCATACCTGGACAACTTTCCACCTTGCTGGATGGATGCTAGTGTTATACTTATCCTGGAACAGTTGGCTAGGGAAATGGCTAGCTCTAAAGCACAAGGCTTCAGCTCCACAGCTGAGAAGGGGAAACAATGGCCTAGTGGCATTATCGCTGAACTGTTAATCCAGAGATCCAAATTCAAATCCCACGGTAGCTGGTGGAATTTCAATTCAAGCGTCTAGTGATCACCATGATTCCATTATCAATTGTCGGGAAAAATCTGTCTGGTTCACTAATGTCCGTTAGGGAAGGAAACTGGCATCTGGCTTATATGTGACTCCAGACCCCACAGCAATGTGGTTGACTCTTAACTGCCCTTTGGGCAATTAATGCTGGCCTATCCAGCGATGCCCTCATCCATGAATAAATGAATAAAATACTATCAGTTTCCATAGTCTGTGCTGTATCCAGCTGCTTCTTAATCTCCTTTCGAATGAATCAAATTGACTGAAGACTGATATTTGTTATTTAGGAAACGTTGAAAGAAGACTGAGTTAGATAATCCACTCAAAACTGCAGAGTTTTTGGAAATGTAAACTTGGCTTCTGACTGATTTCCTGATGACATATACGCTTCCAGACTGAGTGTTTGTCAAAAAGAAAACTAGCATTTTTAAAAGATTCACTCATGGGACATGGGTGTCGCTAGCTGGGCCAGCATTTATTGCCTGTCCCTAGTTGCCCCTTGAGAAGATGATGGTGAGCTGCCTTCTTGAACCACTGCAGTCTATGTGTGTAGGGAAGGAATTGCAGGATCTTGACAGTGAAGGAACGGCAATATATTTCCAAGTCAGGACAGTGGAGAGGAACTTGTGGTGTTCCCATTTATCTACTGCCCTAGTCCTTTAGATGAAAGGTCATGGTTTTGAAAGGTGCAGTCTCAGAATCTTTGCTGAGTTTCTGTGGTGTATCTTATCATTCGTATATAGGAGAGTGGATGCTTGCGATGTGATGCTAGAAGGGTCGGTTGCTTTGTCCTGGAGTTTTGTCAAGTTTCTTGAGTGTTGTTGGAGCCGTACTCATCCAGACAAGTGGGGAGTGTTCCATCACACTCTGGACTTGTGCCTGACTTTGGGGAGTCAGGAGGTGAGTTACTCGCTGGGATATTCCTAGCCTCTGACCTGCTCTTGTAGCTACTGTATTTAAATGGTGAGTGCAGTTTGAGTTTCTGGTCAATGGTAATACCCAAGATATTGATTATAGGGATTCAATGATGATAATGGCATTGAATGTCAAGAGGCAGTAGTTAAATTGTGTCTTATTTTGGACAGCCATTGCCTGGAATGTTACTTGCCACTTGTTAGCCCAAGCCTGGAAATTGTCTTGTTTAATTTAACATGGACTGCTTCAGTATCTGAGGAGTCGCAAATGGTGCTGAACATTGTGCAATCATTAGTTAATATCCCTACTCTGACCTTATGATGGAAGGAAGGTGATTGATGAAGCAGCTAAAGATGTTTGGGCCTATGATACTATCCTGAGGAACTCCTGCAGAGATATCCTGGAGCTAAGTTGCCTGACCTCCAACAACCACAACCACCTCCATATGTGTCAGGTATGACTCTAACCAGGGTGCTCTGATTTCCTCCCACAGTCCAAAGATGTGCAGGTTAGGTGGATTGGCCATGCTAAATTGCCCATAGTGTTTAGGAATGTGTAGATTGTGTGTGTTATCGGGGGATGGATCCGGGTGGGATGTTCTGAGGGGCGGTGTGGGCTTGTTGGGCCGAAGGGCCTGTTTCCACACTGTAGGGATTCTAGGTTTCTATGATTCATGTACCATCCTGTAATCGTATTTTTTTTAAAAAATTCAAACGTTACAGACATTTATTTAGTTGAAAAACACATTTGGAAGATTTGAACATTTGAATGTAGAATATATTAATGTAGATAGCATTAGAGTACCTTCAATAAGAGTACAAGTAGACTTTTAACATACCATATCATCGACATGAAGATTACAGCCAGCATTAACCACCAATACCAATCTCCTTTGTCACAAAACACAGCCATCAAAAGACCAACCAGGGTGCCATTGTATCCATAAAGCCCTGCTGCAATTGCGGATCTAAAATGTTGTAAGTAAAAACGTAACATTTTGGAGCTAAACATCTTTCCAAACATTTATTAAATATGCAAAAATGATTTGCTTGCTTTGACCTTGGGAAAGGTCATGGAAAACAAGTACACTTAGAAAATTAAAAAGTAAATATCTTAACACAGAATTGCTTTGAATCATGATATTAACAGCACCATCTTATGTACTGACTTCAAATTAGATACTCTTATGATTCGTTATCAGGAAAAATATCATAACTGGGCAGGTATTATTCAAGAAGAACATTAGTTTCTTACATACAAAACTTATCAAAGAGGTTTTTAAAAACAGCATTTATCTTGAACTTTTAAGAAAGTTAACATTAGATTGGTGCACATGAACACTTTGGCAGAGCAAAGACTCTAGTTCTGGAATAGCAAAACAATATGACTGAGCGCATATCATATCAGTTGGTAGTAAACAAGTTGGGGTGTAATATATTTTCATGATCTAATTGGGGAGCTGAAAATGATTTCAAGTTTCACTGGAAATTCAAAATACTGCTCCTTTTCACTTGATCTTAAATAAATTATAGAATCATAGAATTTTACAGTACCTAAGGAGACCATTCGATCCATCATATCTGTACTGACTCTTGAAAGTGTTACCCAGCAAGTCGCAATCTCCAGACCTATCTCCGTAGACCTCGAAATTCATAACTTTCAAATACATATGTCCGGCTGTCTTTTGAGATCTATGGAATCCAATCCCCTAGGCAGCATATTCCAAATCCTAAAAATTATCTGAGTAAAGAAGTTTCTCCTCTTCTCACTCCTAGCTCTGTTGCTGACAGTCTTGAAATTGTGACCCTATGTTATTGACATACAAGCTATTGGAAACAAAATATCCTTCCTTACCCTCTCAAAACAACTTTGAGTACCTCCATAAGGTCACCTATTAATCTTCCCTGCTCCAACAGATTAAGCCCAATTTCTCTAATCTTTCCTTTTATCTAAAATCCCTCATTCCTGGCATCATTCTATTAAGTCTCCTTTACACTCTCTCCAGGGCTTTAATGTCCTTCCTGAAATAAAGTGCCGAAAAATGATCTTAATACTCTAAATGTTGCTTTACCAATGATTTGTACAGACATAACATCACTTCCTTGCTTTTATACTCTAAGCCTGTATTTATAAACCTGAGGATCCTATAAGCCTTCTTAACAACTGTTTCAACATTATGTACTTGAACCTCAAGTTGCCTCTGCTGCTGTATTCCCCTCAAAGTTGGACCTTTGGCGTGCATTGTCTTTCCATGTTTCTTCTAACAAAATGCATTTCCTCATGTTTCTCTGCCATAAAATGTATTTGTTAGGTGTTTGCCCATATGGCCATTTTGTCACTGTCCCTCTGAAGTCACTCAGTGTCATCTTCACAATTCATTATTCTCCTTAGCTTAGTGTCATCTGCAAATTTAGAGATTTTGGCCTCAATACACATCTCCAAATCATTCCCATAAATCACAAAAGCAAGAGGCCAACAGCAATCCCTGGGAAACACCACTTTCAACTCATCTGAGAAATACTCCATCTGTACCTACCTTCTGTTTCCTACTTTTTAGCCAACTTCTAATTCATGCTGCCAAGGACAAATCAAACATTTCTAATTGTCTAACCAACCTGCCATGTATCGAATGCTTTCTGGAAGTTGAAATGTACAACATCTACAGCACTACTCTCATCCATTGCCTGAGTCACCTCATGAAAGAACTCAGTTAAATTTGTCAGACTGGAGCTGCCCTTGACAAAGCCATGTTGACTGTCTCGTATGAATTTAGAAAAAAAAAGTGTATATTTATCTTATCCCTTATTATGGCCTATATTAGCTTTACCCACTATTGATGTCAAGCTGGCAGGCCTGCAGTTTCCTGGGTTATCCTTTGTCCCTTTCTTAAACAATGATATCACTTTTGCAATCTTCCAGCCCTTCTGGACTGATCCTGTGTTCAGAGAGGCCCGAAAGATTTCTGTCAGTGGCTTCACAATTTGCTCTCTTACCTCTCTCAGCAATTTTGGATGCATCCCATTTGGCGACCTCTCTACCTGGAATGCTGACAGCTTTTTTAGCACGTCTTCTTTATCACTATACTGTTCAGTTGCTCAACACCTGCATTTTCAACTGGGCCATTGTCACCATTTTCTAATTTGGTAAAGACAGGAGCAAAGCACTCATTTAGTACCTCTGCTATATCTTTTGCTCCAGTAAGCAGCATACCCTGCTTATTCCTTATGGGCCCCATTCTATCCTTCACTGTTGAAAGGAATCAGAACAACAGAATTTCTGCCAACATGCCAAACCAAGAATCTTGAAATTGACTGTTCAACTGTTCAATATCAATGTTTTTGATGCCTTCCAATAACAGCTGCAACATTGTCTTATATGCTCTTCACAAACAATTCAGAGACTTATCATTTTTTGAACTGTTATCGTTTTGCACTCACTTCTTATTTCTACACTGTGTCCATGTGTTGAGTTGTTATGTTTACTGATATTTAGTCTTAACTCACGCATGTTGTTAATTCAAGAAAGCCTGGTTAAATTTGCTTCTTTTAAACCATAAGGTCATTTGACGTTGTGAGCGAGTTATCCACAAAGGAAGTGATCCTTTTCAAATTAACCTTGTTGCCACCAGTCCAGCGGGTGGGTGAATAACCAAGGGGAGCCAGTTCATCCCTCCTCACCTGGGTACTTAATGATTTGGGGTATCCTGTCTGGGTCCGTAATAAACTGTGGAATTTCACCTAGCGTTGTTTCATAACATTGATCACCTCTCGACTGTGTCCAGTAGTTACTGAATGTTTCTAACTGTTAGATGACTTCACTAAGTGTTCAACTAAATTGTGGATACCAACTGTTTTTAATTTTAACTGCATTAGATCACAATTTGTTCAGACACCTTTGTTCCTTCTGTCTGCTTCATGGTAGGTTCATCTTTGCAATATATTTAAGTCAGACATTTCAAAAAATGAGGGCTTTATGAGTTAGTGACAAGTTTGAATTCTTATGTCCCCTTGAAAATAGGTTACAAAGCTCAATCAAATGGTGGTAATACAATCATTGTTGAGGAATTTCTAAGATTGGTGGAGTAGCAGATAGTGAAGGGGACTGTCGGAGAATGCAGCAGAATATAGATAGATTGGAGAGCTGGGTGGAGAAATGGCAGATGGAGTTCAATCCAGGCCAATGTGAGGTGATGCATTTTGGAAGATCCAATTCAACAGTGAATTTCATTATACCTTATTTCTTTTGGAAATTTAGTAATTGAAAGAACTTGCTTTAAAATAGTAACATTGTTCCCATGGTAATGAGAAAATTGAAGAGATTTTTGGAAGCTAAAATAATAGCTAATTCCTCAGATAAAATTGTTCAAAATGTTATTTTGATCAATTTTTAAAAGAAATATTTTTCTATAAAAAGGTTACCTGTTCTGACTGAGCAAAATTGCTGCCACAGTTGAGAACACTGTTCCAACAAAGCCATTTAGTGCCCACCATCGATTCTGTACAATCAGTCCCGCCAAAATAATAATCCCACTCAGTGGGTTGTTGACAAACATCACCTGTGCAATTCCCCGTAGGTTCCAGTCAATAAGTTGAAAGATGATGTTTTGTTCTGCAATGTTGTCAGAAGCAAAGTATATAACTGTTAAAGAATATGACTTCTTTCTGCTTCCCAAACAAATAATTGAGCAACTGGTTCGTAAATTATTTGCAGAATTTGGAGGGTGTCACACAGTTTGCAGATATAATCTGAACCCTAAAGTTAAATGATACAGTAACTTTATTACTCAGGGACAAACATTTAGCATGTAAAACACATTAATTAGTTTCTATAAAGTGTATCACCAATGGCATTGCTTTTGGCAAATCAAGTGATTCATTGGAATTTATATTATATTATATACAATCTATTAATCTGTTGTTAAATTGGTTCTGTGCATGTTCAATTAAGTCCAGAAAAAGTCTAAATATTTTAGCAAATGCTAAGTGAAATTGATCCGAATTTCAATGATGTATGGCTCTGGGGTTTGCTCATTGCCATGTTCTTACAGCTGATCTTAACGACAATATACAATCGATCCAAATTTAGAATCTGCTCCACATGTTTGCCTTTATGATTGCTCAGGAAACCTCCTTGCAATGGCATCTGGAATTGTCCTTCTGAGAACAAAGAGGGTTGAGGAAAGTTTCAATACTGATGTTTAAAATTATGAAAGAATATATGGAGGCTGTTGACCAGTGGAAAAGATTCTAGAGAGAGCAAAAGAGCCAGTGGGAGAATGGCTGACCCATGCCCACCATTCCCTATTACAATTTTACCAGCAGTCCAGGAGGCATTGAGCAATCTAATTGTCCATGAGCAAGTTTTGTTCACTTAAGGGGCTCGTCTTGCCCCGGCAGGGATTTTACCCATGGTGGGAGAGGTGTACACCTGGTCACTAAGCCACCAGCTAAAACCTGGCCAGCCTTGATGCTGAGCTGAGGTTAGTCCTTGATGGGCAACCTGCCCCTACCAGAGGCCCCCACAAAATGAAACTCTGCCCCATTATTGCTCACTGCTCTTTCCAGTCATGCCATTCAAGCCCCTGACCCCCACAAGGGTTCGCCAACTGAGATGCAACACTCACTCTATATCCCAGCACCAAGGTTAAACACCTTTCCCTCAGCCTCGCTGCGGTGACCACTATTCATGGTGGTGCTGTTGGGTCGGTGGGTGCTCCTGGCCCTCTGATTGGCTGAGAGCATTCTGATGCAGCTGGGACTTCCTCAGTGAGGCACCAATGCGCTGCCTCATGCCAATGAAAGGCCTGTTGACTGTTTGATAGGTGCAGAGTGAGTGGAGCAGGCTTGTCCCTGTCTTTTATGCAGGGGCACAGAACCAACATTAAATTCGGCTTATGGTGTGTAATTCTGTGGGTGAAATATTACTTGTTCCATGGCAACTGGCCTAGCAGGGGTAATAAAACAGAGGCAAGGAACCCCGCTGTCTTTCTGCCATCACTGAGCATGGCAAATATTCCAGAGCTGTGACTGTTGAGTAGTAGGTTTGTGCTCACGCATAAAGCAGTGGCCAAGCATTTGGGGCTGTTTAGCAGTGAAATGTGTTCAGCTATAAAGTGCATTTTATCATTTACTGAGTCTCAGGTTCCATGGAGCATCAATGGTTTCCCAGCCACAAGGAGGCGAGAGCTCAGTGGCATGACTGGTTTCTGGAAGTGGTAGCCATTGAATAAAGCTTTCGTCTTCTAAACTGCACTGGAAATAAACTCAGCTTTCCTATTCTCATAAGACAATTCATTCATTTCAATACCAATCTAGTAAACCTCCTCTTAATTGCCTCCAGTACACTTACATCCTCCCTTAAATAAGGAGACAAAGCTGCATGCAATATTCAGGATGTGGTCTCACCAAAGCCCTTATAACTGAAAAATAACTCCTTACGTTTGTGTTCTGTTTCTCCCATAATAAAGGTTAGAAACCCATTAGACTCCTTGATTACATGCTTAACCTGCATAAAAATGTTTTGTGATTCATGCATTGGAATACTTAAATACCTCTGTAGTTTTGGATTTCCGTGGTTGTTCTCTGTTTAAGTATAATTCCGTTTTCTCATTCTTGCTGCCAAAGAAAAAATCTTCACATTTTCTAACATTATACTTTTGCTGCTGCATGTTTGCCCACTGATGCAACCAATCTATATCTTCCTGAAAATTCCTTATGTCTTCTTCACAACACACTTTTCTATCTATCTCGGTGTTGTCTCCAGGTTTAGCTACCATGTCTTCACTACCTTTTCTAAGTCATTGATGTAATTTGTAAAAAATTGAGGCCCAGCACAGACAACTGCAGGACTCCAATTGTCACATCTTGCAAGTCAGACAAATAGCCTCTGTTTTCTACCAGCCAGCCATTTTAAAAATCTATGTTAACATGTTACCCCCATACCAGATGAAAGTGTGCATTCTGAAAAGCCATTTAATTCATCAAGTGCCTTCTTTTCACACATCATATACAGTCTGTTTATTTTTGATTCTAACCAAATCATTTCCAATTTGGAGTGTTCCCATCCTTAAGCAAAACTGTGGGCTTATTGAACTTTAATCTCATGTAGTTTATTTGTCACCATATCCTTGGCTACACATTTCCAACTCTTAACAGATGAGGGATTGAGTTTATGCTACATAACATTCAGTAAGCATCTAATGTATTCATCACTATTCATCTCAATCCTGTTCTAACTAAACAACCTTGCAACAAATCGCTGTATTCCTTCATCTACTGGCTATTGAAAAATATTTACCTACAATATTGATATCCTTAAATGAAAATATCTTTCCTAATGTTCACTTACCTTTCACCCAGTAACCAAATTCTCTCATGTCACCAGACAAATAGCTAATTCTTTGCAAAAGGGTTTCTTTGCGTTTATTGCAATTCAGAGTAGATACATCTTCGATCATTGCTGTTTGCTTCTTCTCCATGAATGGATCCTGTTCCTCACACAATTGAAAGAGAATCAAGTTGCTTTGTGTTGTTTAACATGAAAATAGAAACAAAAGCATGACTGCATTTTGTTAACTGTACATTATAAGTATATTCTACAGGCCAAAAGCATAGATATAAATCTGACTCAAATCAATTCAGCTTAGAGGCCTTTAAATGCAACTCAGATGCTAAACTCCATAGACATGTGTGGCTTCAGATTCACACATTCATAACATCCCTTTATTGACTGGTTAAAGTAACAGAAGTGCAATATGCAAAATTTGAAAGCAGATTGTAATCAAGACTGTATTACTGGTTTGAACCCTCTTGTTTAATGAGTTCATAATTGCACAGCCTAGGGTATTCTGTGCATGTGTAAAATATTTTACTTTCTTATCGATCAATAAATTACTTATGAAAAATTACTGTAATCGGTCATTTGGGTCAATGGAAAGTTACTATGGCCTTGGAAGCAACTAAATATTGGCTTTGATTCAAAGTCTCTGAGAGCTCAGCAGAAATCTTCATCCATTGGTTAAGATAAACTACTCAGCAGGTTCAAGCCATCACCTCAATAATCAATTTTTCCTGACAAATAAAAAAGAACTTGCATCTATAGAGAATCTTTTGTGTTCTCAAGACATTCTACAGTGCTTTTAAAGTACAGTCAACGTGATGATGTGTGTAAACAATCAATTTGACCTCAGTTGGAGAAAAGTAGTCTTTAGCAGAGAGGCAAAATGGATAATTTTTCACTTTACCTGATTTTATTTTTAATACAGAACAATTTAGCTTCAAAATAGGTTCTACAAGTACCAATGAGACTAACGCCCAGCTAGACTATTTTGGTGATGATGACTAATTTGTTGGCCTACATTGTGACATATTCATATTTTCGGTGAGGCACTTGATTGACATTCTTATATGGAACATAGGAACATAGAAAATAGGCGCAGCCATAGTCCATTCGGCCCTTTGAGCCTGCTCTGCTCTTCGTTATGATCATGGCTGATCATCCAATTCAATAGCCTGTTCTTGCTTTCTCCCCATACCCTTCGATCCCTTTATAGTATATATATATAGCTAGGGAAAGGGTTGGTCCACTTAAGAATAAAGGAGGGAATTAATGCATGGAGCTGGAGGATGTGGGTGAGGTCCTTAACAAATACTTTGCATTGGCATTCAAAAAAGGGGAAGGACATGGTCGCTGGTGATTCTAAAGAGGGGTTTGTTGATATTCTAGGGCATGGCAATAAAGAAAAGGAGGTGTTGAGTTTTTGAAAAACATTAAGATAGGCAAGGCCCCAAGACCTGATGAGATCTATCCCAGAATGCTGAGGGAGGCAGGTGAGGAAATTTCTGAGGCCTTGTATGAAATCTTTGTATCCTCTTTAGTCACCGGCAATGTCCCAGAGGATTGGAGAATAGCCACTGTTGTTCCTTTGTTTAAGAAGGGCAAAAGGGATAATCTGGGAAATTACAGGCTTGTGAACCTTACGTTAGTAGTAGGGAAATTATTTGAGAAGTTTCTTTGGGACAGGATTTATTTACATGTGGAAAATGTAGCCTTATTAGATTCAGGCAGCATGTGGGTGGTCGTGTCTCACAACTTCATTTGAGTTTTTTGAGGAAGTGACAAAGATGATTGATGAGGGCAGGGTGGCAGATGTTGTCAATATGGACTTTAGCAAGACATTTGACAAGGTGCCTCATGGCAGGCTGATACAGAAGGAGATCCACACTGATCCGGTAAGATAAATACAGAACTGGCTTGGTCATAGCAAACAGAGAATAGAAGTGGAAGGGTGTTTTTCTGACCGGAGAATAGTAACCAGTGGTGTTCCACAGGGATCAGTGCAGGGACCTTTGTTATTTGTAATATATATAAATGATTTGGAAGAGAATGTGGGCGGTCTGATTAGTAAGGTTGTGAATGGCACAAAGGTTGCAGGAGTTGCAGATAGTGAGGATGATTGGCAGAGGATACAGCAGGATATAGATCGTGGAGAGTTGGTGGAGAAATGGCTGATGAAGTTTAATCTGGACAAATGCAAGGTGATGTACTTTGGAAGGTCTAATGCACAAGGGAAGTATACAGTAAATAAATGACAGATGCCTGAAAAACATTAAAATACAAAGGGATTTAGGTGTACAAGTCCAAAGTTTCCCGAAAGTGGAACACAAATGGAAAACATGGTCAAGAAGGCATGTGGAATGTTTGCCTTCATTGGTCGCAAGAATGTATGGTTATAATCAGATCAGTCATGATCCTGTTGAATGGTTGAGCAGCTTGAGGAGTAGAATGGCCGATCCATAAATCTGTATGTTTGACTAAAGGCTGAAGTTTAGTGGAAAATCCTAAATGAATGTAGCTGGAAGAATACTTCGCATGGTGGCTTAGTGGTTAGCACTGCTGTCTCACAGTTCTAGGGACCTGGGTTTGATTCCACCCTCGTGTGACTGCGTGAAATTTGCACATTCTCCCTGTGTCTGCGTGGGTTTCCTCACATAGTCCAAAGAAGTGCAGGCTAGGTGGATTGGCTGCGCTAAATTGCCCGTAGTGTCCAGGGATGTATAGGTTAGGTGGATTAGCCATGGGAAATGCGGGATGATAGGGTAGGGGGTGGGTCTGGGTGGGATGTTGTTCGGAGGGTTGGTGTGGACCTGATGGGCTGAGTGGCCTGCTTCCACACTGCAGGGATTCTATGGTTCTATGAAAACTCACATAATTCAGCACCATCCAAGACAAGCCATGTGCGAGATCAGAATCTCTGTTATTGAATTCGATATGCACTTGCTTTACCACCAGTGCCCAGAAACCTCAGTATTTAATGTTTGGAGAATATATTGTCAGAAAATGTCAAACTTATATCAACAGTACTATCAACCACCACAACGACCGACAATAATAAGGTCAAGAAAAGCAACATTTTGGGAATATCCTAATTGACAAGATACTCTTCAAGTTGCACACAATCCTAATTTGGAAATATAAGCTTTTATTATTACTGGATTGAAATCATGAAATTCTTAACAATATTGTGCGTTCATTATCTCTGGCATCATCACAAGGATTACTTAGTTCTGAAATAGATTTTTACTGAGGAAGGAATAAACAATAAAAAATTCTTTTGTAGGATTTAATTTTAGTAATGCAAAATCTGTGGGAACTCTATCTGAAGCCACAGAACAAAATAAGACCAATAATGTTTATAAATTGTGAAAGGTTGAGTTTTATATCAGGTCTAGAGGAAACAGGGAATTTGACTTTTATACCACTCTAGGAGCTGTGTGAGCATAGGATACAACATTATATCAAATAAATAATTCTTTCAAAATGATGAGAAATGCTATCAGTGCACAAAGTAATGGATTGTAGTGAAGACGGCCATGTATCATTCATAACTGTTGCTAACATTCTCAAACATCACTGATAGAGCTGTACATCATGTCCTGTTGCTAGCTATATTCATGCCATCTGGAAGGTAAATGGTGAACATTACTGAGGTACAGGGAGAACTTGTTCAATATGATAAGAGCACACACAAATCATTAATAGTGTCTTGCTAGTCTCTTTGATGTGAATCAGTGACCTTCCTCACCCCCATAATCATTCTCAAAATTTCTGACCTGACCTGCATTGAAAATAAATGGTCAATATATTTTCATACCTTTGAGCCAATTCCTTCACGAATACCTGTTTTGATATCACTCTGTTTAATTATTGTTTCTTCCTGTATGATTTCTATTCTCTGATGATCCATGAATTGAAATGTTTCCTGAAAAAAAAAAGTTTACTTGAAATGTATAAATTTGTTTAAATGTATATGAGATTTTTGTATAATCAAACAATCCATTATCCATAACACATGTATGCAAAACTAGCTTATCTTGGATATTAAAAGCATAATTTTAATATGCAGCTCAATAGAAAACTGCATATAGCTGAGCAAACTGTGTCAATATCATAATTTTGTTACTTATTCAAAGAATATTAGTATGAATTTATTGTTTTGCTATTGTTTCATTTTTTTAAATAAAGTGATAAACTATTTACAAAAACATTATTAACATCACTAACTTATTCTAACTAAAGTTTGGACATGTATGTTCCACCAGCATGCTGAATTGATGTTATGTATGTGACATATTAACCTACCATCACTTTATCAATCTAGAAACAAAGCTGTTCAGTGAATGTGGGCTGAGGGGGTAATGTTGTGTGGGTGGGAAGTGAAAGGAAGGTGTCTTAATTTGTCATTATGGGACAAACCTTCCTTGCAATGTACACCATAGAATTCAAACAAATTCCAATCAAGGCTGCAGCTCTGGTTTTAACAATTTTAGGTAATGAATTTGTTATCGCATCATCCATAATATTTCAGGCATGTGAGCAAATATTTCGCTTCTTTATTGACTAATAAATTACTTATAAAAGTTACCGAAAGAAATTATTTACTACAGTGTTAGGACAGCTCAGTTCCAGAAGCATACCAGTTTGCTGAATTGAAGCAATGTATGTAGTAAATTAGATATCACCTCATCAATCTAGAAACAAAACCATTTAGAGGTTATGGCAGTGATGGAGGTGAAGGAGGGGGTGTTCGGGGTGGGATGAAGAGGAAGCATGTATGGGGAAACAGTCTCAAATTATCATTATGACACAAAACTTTCTTTCTATTGCAGACAAGAAATGACATAAGTGATAGACAAGAGAAAAATTTCAGGTCCAACAAGGAAGGAAGAACTGAATAAAAACCAAAAGAACAGCGGATGCTGAAAATTAAGAACAGAAACAGAAGTTGGTGGAAAAGCTCAGCAGATCTGGCAGCATCTGTGAAGAAAAAATCAGAGTTAACATTTCAGGTCTGGTGACCCTTCCTCAGAACTGATGGTACTAATGAAAACGTCATTTTTATATGCAGGTAGTGGGGAGGGTAAGGGGGTAGGGAGTAAACAATTGGTGGGGATAGAGTCCAAAGAGAAAGAAGAGCAGTTGGACAGACAAAAAGGAGTGGATAACGAACTGGCTAGGAGGGTGAATAGCTGTTAATGGAGACTAACAATACGTAGTGTGTAATAGCAGGCCATGTGATAACAAGGCCTGGTGTGTTGGGTAGGGGGCTAGGGCATGGGAGAGTTTAGGCCCTAAATTTATTGAACTCGATATTGAGTCCAAAGGGCTGCAAGGCTCCCCAAGTGGAAAATGAAGTGCTGTTCTTCCAACTTGCACTGAGCTTCATTGGAACACTGCAGCAATCCTGACACTGAGATGTTTATCAGGGAGCAGGGTGGTGCATTAAAGTGCCAGGTAACTGGAAGCTCAGGATCTTTTTTGCGAGCAGAACATAGAAATTCTGCGAAGCAGTCACCCAGTCTACGCTTTGTTTCTCCAATGTAGAGGACACTACCTTGTGAGCAGCGAATGCAATCGACTAGATTCTGGGAAGTGCAGATGAAGTTGTTGCTTCACCTGGAAGGTATGTTTGGGTCCTTGGATACTGGGGAGGGAGGAGGTAAATGGGCAGGTGTTGCACTTTCGCCCATTAGAGGGGAAGGTGTTGTGGGACTGTGGGGGTGTGTTGTGAGTGAAGGAAGTGTGGACCAGGGTGTCCCGGTGGGAATGGTCTCTGCGGAAAGCAGATAAGGGAGGGGAGGGGAATATGTGTCTGGTGGTGGCGGAAATAGTGTCTGATGATCTATTGGATGTGGATGCTGGTGGGATGGAAGGTAAGAACAAGGGGAACCCTATCGCTGTTGCAAGAGGGAACAGAGGGGGTGAGGGCAGAAGTGCGGGAGATGGGTCGGACCCAGTGAGGGCCCTGTTAACAACTTTGCTGGGGAATCCTCGGTTGAGGAAGAAGGTGGACATTTCAGAGGCTCCCTTGTCAAAGTTGGCCTCATCTGCACATATGCGACGGAGATGGATGAACTGAGAGAATGGAATGGAGTCTTTACAGGAAGCAGGGTGTAAGGATGTATAGTCCAGGTCCTGATCCTCTGATGCTGCTTGGCCTGCTGTGTTCATCCAGCTCTACACCTTGTTACCTCAGATTGTCCAGCATCTGCAGTTCCTACTATAGCTGTGAGAGTTGGTGGGTTTACAGTGGATATTAGTGGCCAGTCTATCCCCAGAAATGGAAACAGATATCGAGGAAGGGAAGGGAGGAGTCAGAGATGGACCAGGTGAAAGTGAGGGCAGGACGGAAATTGGAAGCGAGATTGATGAACAAATCTGGATGAGAGAGGGAAACAGCACTGATAATATCATTGATATATTGGAAAAAGAGTTGTGGGTGGGAGTCAGAATAGGACTGGAACAAGGAATATTCCACATACCCCATGAAGAGACAGGCATAATTGGGGCCCATATGGGTACCCATGGCCATCCTTATGACCTGAAAAAAATGAGAAAAGTTAAAAGAGAAGTTGTTGAGGGTGAGGATGAGCTTGGCCAAGCGGAGGAGGGTGGTGATAGGTGGGGATGGTTCAGGTCTTTGCTCCAGGAAGAAGCGGAGTGCTTTAAGACCATCCTGGTGGGGAATGGACGTGTAACGGGATTGCACATCCATGGCAAAGAGGCGGCAGCTGGAGCTGGCAAACTGGAAATTCTGAAACTTCCATAAGGCGTCAGAGGAATCATGGATGTACGTGGGCGGGGATTGAATCAGGGGAGAGAAGACTGAGCCAAGTAGGAAGAAATAAGTTCTGTGGGGCAGGAGCAGGCTAGAACAATGGGTCTGCCCGGAAAGATCTGTTTGTGGATTTTTGGAAGGAGGTAGAAGCGAGCTGTGTGGGTCTGGGGGGACTATCAGCTTGGAGGCAGCTAGGAGGAGATCACCGCATGAAATGAGATCAGTTAATGTAGTTGATACGATGGCCTGATGTGGCATGGTGGGGTTATGGTCCAAGGGAAGATACGAGGAGGCATCTGAGAGCTGGCGCTGACCCTTTGCAAGGTAGATGTCAGTACACTGAACTACAACAGCACCAGCCTTATCGGCAGGCTTAATAACAAAGTCAGGGTTGGATCTAAGCGCACGGAGTGCAGTCAGTTCAGAGGGAGATAGTTTGGATTGGGTGAGAGGGACAGAGAAATTGAGGTGACCAATATCACGTCAACAGTTCTCAATGAACAGATTGAGTGCAGCTAAAAGGCCAGAGGAAGGGGTCCAGGCGGAGGGACAGTGTTGGAACTGGGCATAGGGGTCTATGAGGTGGGCAGAGGACTCTTGTCCAAAGAAGTGGGCATGGAGGCGAAGACGGCGGAAGAAGAGTTTGATGTCATGTCGTGTCTAACATTCATTAAGGTGGGGGTGCAGAGGAATAAAGCTGAGGCCTTTGCTGAGTACAGAACATTCAGCATCAGAGAGCGGAAGGTTAGAACAGATGGTGAATACCCGACAGGAGGTGGGGTTGGGGGAGGATTGGAGTCAGAGGGAAGGGGAGGGAAGGAAGGTTCCACAGGGCCTTGGGTATTTTTAAGTTATTCCATCTTGTGGTCCTTGATGCCTGAAAGGAAAAGAAAAAGTTTCTTGTTTACATGGCAAATGAGCCGGAGGATGAAGTGGAATTGTGCAGTGGTGGAACCCTGGGCCAGTGTGTTGCGATGCTGTTGGAGAGGAAAGTTAAGAGTGTGCATGTGACGCTGCATGGCACTGAGTGTGGATCTCAGGATGCGGCGAGAGCAGCTGTCTGTGGAATATGGATCATCACGGAGATATCTGTGATCCTGGGAGGATTCAAAACATGAGGGATGAAACTTCAGTTGGAATCCACGTGGGGTGAGTCTGAGCCGGAGGCAGTCACTGAGGAATGTGATATGGCTGTGGAAATGAGTTTTAGCAAATACTTGGTGGAGCACCAGGAGTGACAGTGAAATTAATGTCGGTGAACAAGAAGAAAGATTGGAATGGAAATCCCATGGGAGATGGGAGCAGAAGTTCTTCAAGGTGGGCATGCCTGGACGAGATGTGGCAGGGAGTTAAACACTGAATAAAAACTGAAAGTACTGTGGATGCTGTAAATCAGGAACAAAAACAGAAGTTGCTGGAAAGGTCTGGCAGCATCTGTGAAGAAAAAATCAGAGTTAATGTTTCAGGTCTGGTGACCCTTCCTCAGAACTAACAATCTTCCAGTCTTTGATGTGGTTGTAGAGGTCTGGAAAATCACAGATATTAAATTCTCATTCCAAAAGGGTATAGTAATAAGGTCAGCAATTACAGACCAATTTATTCTTCGTCAAGTGAAAGATGTTACAAATAATAATCCAGGACAAAATTAACAGTCACTCTGTGAATTACTGATTGACTGAATAAAGCCAGCACACAATTCAGCACATGGGAAAATTGTTCAAGGATAATATGCTTGACTAAGCTTTTTGATGAGGAAACAGAAAGCTGATAGGGTAATGAGAAGATTTGTGTACATGATTTTCCAAAAGGTTTTTATATAATGCCATTGTGCCAGATAAAAAAATTTGCCAGCAAAGTTGAAAACCATGGAATAAAAGGGGCAGTGACACTATTGATATAAAGAGACAACAAGGTGCAGGGCTGGATGAACACAGCAGGCCAAGCAGCATCATAGGAGCAGAAAGGCTGACGTTTCGGGCCTAGGCCCTTT